CCCTTCTTAATATTAAAAGCGTTGGTTTCCACATTTTATTACTGAGCGTCACAATTCGCTACTGCCATAGCTTTAGAAGTTATAAAGTACAAAGCTGGAAAACAGTTTACATTTCACGGTTGTGTGAATTTCTGGTGTAGAACGTCTCTAGGAAAACTTAACCATGTGCCAACAAGCAACAAAACCGATAGCTTTAGCGTTCTTGATTTATCTCAAACTTAAATTTCTTAATGAAAGAAATTGTTCCAAAAAGAGATCTCTGATCAAGATATGGTACAAAATCGGCCGCTGTAAGTTGTAAACAAGCTGCCAACGATGACGAAAGATGACAGAGTTTCGGGCTGGTTTTTTCCAACATTTGCACAAATTATTCTGTGACATCGATGCCATAACCTACCTCAAACCACCTCACTTCACGAATCGACAAATACTAACGTCAGTATGTGGCTACGACAAAGAAACCTTTCTCCACCACTGACATATTTCCCTCGGTCGCTGTACGTGCATATAAAGTTACATGCGACAACTTGGCAAATGCAGCCACGTCGTTACCGAAGCATTTCTTGATCACAATAAAGTCCAGAAAACAGATCTTAAACCACTGCAGATTGTTAAAAGTGAATGAAGTCCTCTATTACAATAGCTGCCAGTTTCGTCTGTAACAACGAAATTCTTACGGATAGACTCAACAAAGTACAGCTGCGTACAGTCTGATGTTCAATTAATTTCTACTTCTGTAGTAAACAAACCATGAACGTATTCTTTCATTGCACGTTCGCATGAATATGTGTTGACTTTTCCTGTAAAACAGCTTTCGCCTCGTGATTTCCAAGCTTTTCTCGTGTTCTCCCAACATCCCGCGTGGGTTATCACGCCGGTAAACCCATAGAAAGTGTGGTCTATTGCTTAAATATAACATATATAACTGTCATATAACTTTTATATAACAGTTATATATATCTGTTATATAACTGTTATATAACTGTTATAACAGTCTCATCTGTTATATAACAGTTATATAACTGTTATATAACATATATAACAGTCATATAACTGTTATATAACAGTTTCATATAACTGTTATATAACAGTCATGAGACTGTTATAACAGTTATATAACTGTTATATGACAGTAACATTTCTAACAGTTATAAGTGTTATATAACAGTTAAATGACAGTGTTATATAACAGTTATATGACAGTGTTATATAACAGTTATATAACAGTCATATAACTGTTACATAACACTAACATATATAACAGTTATAAGTGTCATATAACTGTTATATAACAGTTATATAACTGTAATATAACAGTTATATGACTGTTATATAACAGTTATATGACAGTTATATATAACTGTTATATAACAGTGTCATATCACTGTTATATAACTGTTATAACAGTCCCATCCCTGTTATATGACACTGTTACATATAACAGTAATATAACTGTTATATAACAGTTATATAACTGTTGTATAACAGTTATATATATCTGTCATATAACTGTTATAACAGTCCCATCACTTTTATATAACAGTTATATGTAATTGTTATATAACAGTTATATGACACTGTTATATAACAGTTATATGACAGTGTTATATAACAGTTATATAACAGTCATATAACTGTTACATAACAGTAACATATATAACAGTTATAAGTGTCATATAACTGTTATATAACAGTTATATAACTGTAATATAACAGTTATATGACAGTTATATATAACTGTTACATAACAGTGTCATATCACTGTTATATAACTGTTATAACAGTCCCATCCCTGTTATATAACAGTTATATGACACTGTTACATATAACAGTAATATAACTGTTATATAACAGTTATATATATCTGTCATATAACTGTTATAACAGTCCCATCACTGTTATATAACAGTTATATGACACTGTTATATAACTTTTATATAACTGTTATATAACAGTTCTAACAGTCACATCACTGTTATATAACTGTTATATATAATTGTTATATAACAGTTATATGACTGTTATATAACAGTTATATATAACTGTCATATAAAGTTATATATCATATATAACAGTTATATATAACTGTTATATAACACCTTGACGTAATTGACCAATCAGGACAATATATCCAGAGCTTTGAGACACCATCAACTTATGATACACAGTACCCTGCGAGCAGAGGCCCTTCGATCTTCCTAGATAAGTCTCGAAAGGGCCTCTGCTCGCAGGGTAGATACACAGCAAACTTTGACTCTGAAGATGACTACCACACAGGTTGTCGAAATGTCAGTCACTAATATCCCAAATTTATTTTTGACCGGCCGATGACGGGGCTTTTTCCCACCCTTTTTATTCCCTGGGAGCGAGGTTAGACAAATTGAAAATACAAAAAGCATTCAGCAAAGTTGCACCAAAAAGAAAAGTGTCACAATTTGATTCTGGGGATAAAGGTTAACGTTACCCGAGGGCTGTATTTTCATCTCTCAGCAAGTTAAAGGGTAAAATAAAGAGGCAGCTTCCGAGTTCGTGTCAGTTTTCAATTCACTTCTAAGTCGTATAAATTTCTTGATAGTTTTACTAGTGATTTTTAACATATTTCATTAAAAGATGAAAAATATGGGCTGTTTATGCAAATAACATCTTATTCGGTACTCAATAAAAAAATTAATCTTCGTTTATAATTAAAATTTATATCCCTTGCTCGATTGCCAATAAAGCTACGTACTGAACAATGCGCATTGCTAAGAGTGAGCGAACTGAACGAACACCGTTATTTGACGACCGTTTAATGATAATACCATATCAAGTTAAACAAAACCCGGAAATCAGATTACGTTATCCCAGCAAAGGTGAGAGCAAACATCCGAAAAGCTCCGATCGTATAAATTTCTTGATAGTTTTACTAGTGACTTTTGACATTTTATTAAAAAATGAAGAATATCCATTGGGCTGTTTATGCAAATAATATCTCATTCGGCACTCAATAAAAAATAAATTTTAGTTTATGATTAAAAGAAAACGATATTTTGTACTTTTTGAAGATATGCTGTTTTATTTTTAACTTTTCAGTAGGCATGGCGCCTTAAACTTTCTTTTAAGCATTTCAAAACAGACAGTCAGAAGAGAAGTTCTATTCGAAAGTTAATGCATTGCTTTTAATCGGTAGTCAGCAAAACACACAAACACACAGTATACAGTACAATAAGATCTTTGAATGCTTGATTGATGCAGTGGCCCTGGATGCAACATTGGTTTTCGGAACGTCCTACGGTGCTGTCTTGAACGCTGCACGATGAAAACTGTGGGCGGCACTCTTACAGAATCCTTGCTTTACAGGAAGAAAATTCGTGTGGTACTATTCAAGGACTCTTAATATCTTGATAAACTAAAAATTTACCATTTTTAACCTGTATTTAACTTGATACGATCTTGTGCAGTTTTTTGCTTCTTTGTTACAAGAGAATCGGGCATCTTTTCTGTTGCTATGTTGTCGGGCAAAATTCATTAACTACGATATTCATATGTTATGTTTTAAGAAAGAAAAAAATAATAATCGCGAATAAGCGATAGATCTTAGCATTTACACAATAGAATTTGCTCCCCAGAAGGATGTAGGCTGTCTGATAAAAATTACCATATAAATATAAACTCTTAAAGTAAAAAAATCCTTCCAAAGCAATTTCAGTTTAAATCACGCCCTTAACCAAAAGGTAAACACTGTCTTTTTAAAAGCTTATTGAGCTCTGACTGTGTAGAACAGTCGAGCCATCGTTTGTACAGAGTCGACAAAGTTTGAGGTACGTCATTTTTCTTCTCAATGGCGGCAATCAAGGTGTCGAAAAAATACAAGTAAAAATATGACTTGGAGAAACTCGTCGAAAGCTAATGAAACGTCTTTTCATCAAAACAAAGTTGACAGCAATTTGGACGCGATATTATATAGAAGCATATTTGGAGGCATTGCAGCACTCTCTTTCCTGGGCAATCTTCTGCTATGTCTTGTAATCTGCAGACGTCGAAAGCTCCTTTCCAGGCCATATAACATTTTGATGTTAAATCTTGCAGCCACAGATATGTTGACAGGTTTGAATTTGTTTTTGCACATTTAGTCTGATTTCAATCATAACTCATAACTAATTGCTTAATTCTCCTTCGGATACATGCATTGCAAAGTATCTTTTTAGTTTGGTTTGATTTTTACCAAGTTTTAAACGCAGGCTCTCCGTTTAATTTATGGAATAAATTCTTAGGCTTTATAATTTATGAATGCAACACTTTGTTTACAGGTGCACCTAACGACCGAATGTTTCCAAATACGCCAGAAGTGTCTCATAAGTTTCTCTATTCTTTAGTGGCCTGTTTGGTCAATTTGGAGTTGCCTTAAAAACTATTCAGCTGTTCGGATATCTTAGGGGAACTTTGGTCGTCACGAAAGTTTTAGGTGGCTTTTTCGTCTCATCCGAAAGTGTTAGCTGCCCTCCTGGGTCAGAGAGAAAGTTCGAGGACATGACGTAGCCTTGCTTTCATTGAAAATTATAGTGGACGTTTCGTCTTTATGCCGAAAGTTTTAGGAGACATTTTTTTTTTTTTTTTACAATAATCGCAATATCTTGATATTAAAATGTGAAAACACAACCTCCGAAAATCGTAGTTAGGCTATTAGAAAACCACCGAATATTTTAGACGAATGGAACGGTTATCCAGACGTTTTTTTAGCTTTTCTCAAGCTTTAAAAAATTTCTAGGCAATATTTGCTCCCTCGAACAGTTATTTTACAGAATACATTCGCTGGGTGCCCCTGTGTTAACCCTTTCATCACTAAGAGAATAAAGTTAATTTTTCTCCAATATCTAATTGAGATGTTGACAATCGGTTTTAAGAGAAATAGAGAAAAGCCATACAACCTTAAGAGACTCTTATATTTAGCAAGCTGTAGATGATTCTTTGAATCAAGGTCAATACATTTTATTTTAACATATATTCCTTTGCCTAGCGCCCAAGTTTATATTACAAGGATTATCCTTTATTTTCTTGTACAGAAAGTCCAAATTTAAGTGCGAGGCGTTTTTCATTAAAACCCTGGCCTTAGACTTCTCCTTCTTGGATTTCTTCTTTTTAATAGACTCCCAGAGAGGACGGGAAAACAATGTTAAGCGAATAATTAAAAAACATGCCACCTTACAACAAAAGCTAAGAATTTCGCAATCCTGTTGATGTCGAGAATCTTTTGTGTTTTGTAATTAATAAATTAATTCTGCATGAGCTGAAGGGCTCCCCAAAAGATTCAGTTTGTCCTCATTTATTCCCCTGAAGCGTACAGAGAAAGAAATGAGTTATATGGATAACTTACAATTCACCTTACAACAAAAGCTAAGAATTTTGCAGTCGTGTTGGTAATCCTTTAAAAATTTTAGGGATTTTTTATAAGTTCTGCGTCAACTGAAAGGTGCCCATTATTGTTCAATGTTGCGGTTTTTTTTAATCGTGAAAATTAAATAAAACATACGATTTGACCGCCTTTAGGAATCCAAGACTATCCGGAAATTTACTATTTTAATGATTTATGGCTATTTTTGTTTTACTTTGTGGACTGATAAAAGCTTTGGGAGGGTAAAACCTGAAAGGAAACCCACTGTTTACCGGAAATCAATCAATATAACTCCCTCACGTTATTCATAAATTATTTTTATAGATCGTTTTCACATGACAACACAACAGTCGCTATGTTGGAATTCAAAATCATTTCGCCAGTTTAGAAACGAGAGGGAAACTGGGACGAGTTAACGTTCGCAAAGACTTCTGGGACTGTTACTGAGGACACGGAAAAAGTTGACCAATAGCTGACCGCCACGTCCCCAGTAACCTCGTTTCTAAAGTAGCGAACGAAACGGCGGCTACATTGATGTACCCCCAAAATCCCGTGGGGATTGAACTCTTTCTCACGAAATTTGTATAGCTACTCACCGCGCGCGTGAGTGAAATGATCTAATCTATGACTTGTGTCCTTTGACGCCTCATAGCTAGCCTGCGTAGCAAGCGTTTCCAGTCGAGTTATAGCGCGAAATTTGGAGCGGGAACAAAAAAAACGAAAATACTCTCGTTCCAGTTTTCTCGACGAACCCGCGCGGAACCGCTTACTACGCAGGCTACCTCATAGCATCTCTAAAAACTATTGGACCAACTTTCGTAATTCTTACTGAAAAATGTCCGCAGTAGATAAGTAAGAATAGAAAGATGTATATTTTTTACAGTGTGGGAAAACTGAAAATCATCATTTCAACACACTTTAAGTTTCTTATTGAAAAAAGGACACCTTTAAAAATTCTTGAAACCGCAAAGGAAGCCAATATTATTATACAAAACCCGGCTTCCTTGACAATCAACAATTGTTTTGAAGTTGTATTGATCAACTCTTATCAGTTTCTTGTCCTTGAAATGTTTGTTGCCAATATTACCATATATGGTAATATATTATGAAAAAGTAATTTCTACCATATATGGTAATCTATTGCCATTTTAATTAGATATTTGCAGGAACAACAACTGTTTATGGCCCGTCCTCTGTCAATATTGGATGTAAGTTTTTCCAATCGCAAATCAACCTAAGGTTTCAAGTGGTATTATCTTGTAACGCTTGCTTATCAATTGTTTATCTTTAACGTAGAAGTATTGAATATTTTAGAAGAAAAAAGAGAAACTTTTTTTATTGCTAGGCTTTTTACAGAATAACCGTATTTTCAAACTTAATTTTAAAGATCTTCGGACTCACGGACAAAATTGTCCTCCAACTCTAGCAAGTAAGAGGTTCTCTTGTTGATGTTGTTGTTGTTGTTGGTATTTATTGAAAAGGTTAGACCGTAATTAGATATCCTTTGATGGTATGCACAAAATAAAGTGAATACATGTATCGGGCGTTGCTTGAACCAACTATGAAGTTTATTTGTGTATTTTTATCACTACAAGCGAAAATTATAAATTTTCCTTGTCTTCAATCATTACACGCTCTTTGAATTTCATAGGTTAATCATGACTGTTGCCCTCATTAACAGCTTCTGCCATTCAAAGCTATTCAAATCAGTGTACAAACAGAACGTTTCTGTGAAATCGTGAGGGGTTTCATTAAGATGGCTGCCCCGGGGTTTCCGACATTTTTTCAGTGTCCGAGGAAGTAAGTTTCGGCAGATAACATCTGCCATTGTTTTTATAGAGACCATTTTGTCATTGTGTCATCATAAACGCTGGCTAGAAATAGCTGTCACCTATGCAAACAAAGGATATCGAAGTCCTATTTGCTATTCATCTTAGCTGTGACGTTTGTTTCAGAATATCCTTATAACAATTGCATTATCATTTGTTTCGGCTGTGGTGATATTAAGAATCATGAGCACTTTCAGTTTACTCGAAAACTATAAAGTGAACAGTACATTTTATAATCTGACAAGAATCGAAACCGGCGAGGCCAGAGACTATGGAACGTTGATGAAATCCACCTTTGGGATTATCGCAACTCTGTCTTTCTTTGGAAACATGCTGCTATGCCTGGTCATATTCATGAAACGATCGATGTTAGCAAAACAATACAATATTCTTATCTGCAGCTTAGCAGTAACTGATATGCTAACAGGTAGGTCGCAGTATATGAAGCATTTTCATTCTTTTCTTTTCCTTTAATTATGTCATAAATTCAACAATGCATTGTTGTACCCTCGTAAAGAGAGAATTAATTTCGTGGAGGGCAGTGTGTACAACAAGATAAGTTATATTAAATGCAAATAATACAAACAGGCCTATTAGAAGAAAGAAAGAAAAAATTAAAAGTTTGCAAATACAACAAACAGACGGAAGTTAAAGTTCTTACTGTTGTCTGCATGCAAGTTTGATAATCGCTCTTTAACGATCTTCGCCCTTTTTACAACCCAGCCTAACTAAAGATACACATATAATTCAATGGTCCATATCACAGTACATCACGGAACAGTAATTTCGTATCTTCATTAAAAGACACATCGAGGATTATTGAAAATAATGCCATCTGACTCTCCTTTGGCAAAAAAGGCTTAGAACTTATCAAATTATATCATGCAAACAACACTACTGCGTATCCCCATTTTGATCTGTTTTACAACATGACATGCCTTTGTCAGTTTTGTCAGATAACGTGTTTGTTCAGCGATACATCTGTGCAGGTGAAGAAACCACGGTATTCATCTTGTTAAAACAGTGACTTTATACTCTGCAGTTTTGCTTTGAATCACGTCTATTACGAATTTGAATGAAACGATATGTTTCAGAATAGAATGAATCAGATCCTGGAGCAGCGATTGTTCAAGTAATTAAATAATATGATAGTTACTATACAAAGCCTTTCATTTATACATGTCTAACACTGTAAAATAATAAGAAGCCAAACAACCGTCTTCATAGAAAATACATTTACCTACAGAAAAAATGATTTACTGAAAGCAATTGCAAATGCGTACTCGTCATCAATGGAAGGGTCAGTTCCATAAGAAGTTGTGGACTGCGTCTTTTGCCCCCTTATCTATATACAAATTCCAGAGTGAACTTTAAATATTTCCGTACAGAATAAGTTAAGAGAATTTAGCTAAAAAATCAAAGTATTCTTCTTTTGGTGATCATTTTATCATTTCTCTTTTTCTTTTTATGTACAATTTTCTAAGCTTATCCATTAAATTCCCTACGATTTTCTGAAGGTTAGGCCTTTTTCTCAGAGAAAAGGAAACCTAAAATCTTCAGATTCAAAAATTGGACGGAGAGAGGAATATGAAAAATTTTCACTTTCGTATTATACGTTAAGTTGCATCTAAAATTTTCGGGAAAATAATACTGAATCCCTTGTAATTTCGAGAAGACTCAGGTCCCCTAGGATGACAGAACACATACAAAGTTTATAGGGCCGCTTAGAATGCATTTCTAGTGGTCTGAAAGTACACTGAAAAGCCTAAAAAGTGTTATCATTGTATTTCGTTATAGGGGAAAACCGTCGTTGGGTGCCCTTGTCTTTTCTCTTGGTTATGTATTCATATCGTTTGGAGAAAGTTGATGTTGATCACTCTTGGGACATAAAGTTGCTTTTCCCATACAAATCCTTCTAATTTGCAGTCGCTGTTTTAACGCTATTTCTGACGTTTAGCATATGAAAAAGTAGATGCTATCATATGCTAAACATCAGAAATAGCGTATTCTAGTCTCCAGTTTTTGCTGTCAGATTTTAAGATTTATTTTCGAATTTTTGGATCGATTTGACGATTTAATAAAATACACTCACATTTTTTGTATTTTTGTACTTGAAAAAATATTATAAAGGCTAATGAAACAAGTTTTTCCTGACCTCTTTGCAGGAATATTCCTTGTTGTTACACCAGACTACTTGATTGACAGAAAAACCTTTCCCTACCCCTCTGGTTTGGCCGGCCAAATCTACTGTCGTCTGATTGGCTCAACATACATTCTGTATATTTTTGGAAAAGCTTCCACCTCGACCATAATGTGCCTTGCAATCGATCGTTGGTACTCCATCGTTAAGCCGATACGCTACAAGACTGCTTTCAGCAAACGCCGTCTTTACCTCTACATCACCTTGATCTGGACTTCTGCCGCCATTACTCAGATCAATGAGCTGTTCATCACCAAAGTGGAAGACGGACTGTGCACTTTTATCACACCATTTTATGGCGCAAAGGCTGAACGCATTCTGATTCTGTTTCACGTGATCATCACGTTTTACATTCCTAGTATTGTCACGTGGATGACCTTTGGACATATCTGGATGCATATGCGACAGCCAAACATTCGCCGTCACCTGGACAACAACAAAGCTACTAAACGTCTACTGCGCATGTGTGCACTGGCGGCTTTTTTTCTGACCATATCCTGGCTCCCAGCAGAAACCTTTTTCATTCTTTATAAGTTTGAAATTTTGAGATTGCCTTTTGAGTTTTATTTATTCACGAGTATTCTCGCAATGTCCAACTCCTGCTTCAATCCATGGATTTATTGTCTAAGTAACAGAGAGTACCGAAGAGAGTTCATCCGACTTCTCTGCTGCATGAAAACGGAAAGCTCAAGGATCAACATAACGTTCTTTGGTTTGATTAAAAAGCGAAGAAGGCGAGGTTGTTCATATTCGGTCTCCACTTCCAGCACAAGTTCAAGCAGCTTTTTGGTCAGTGAGGGGCCTTGCCTGCTCAGTTTGCGAGCGATAACACGCGAATCCATGAAGACACATGTGGCTTCGTGCAACAATATGGCAGCTTGCTCGGGTTCCGATGAGATAAAGGCTGTTTGAATGATACGACCAACATCCACGATACTAAGTCATAGAGACCTATCACAACCCATAACGTTCCATGAAAAAAGAGCTTAATCACTTGGAAACAGTTCACTTGTAAACAGACTCCTTTTCTCAGGTTGTCATAACTCATAAGGTTACTTAATAAGTTTCAAAAACGTCCCTCTGCTGTAAGAGAAGGACTCAGAGAAGCTCAGAGACCCTTAATGGAAAAAGTCTGAGGAAGAGTAGTGAAAAAGTGATAATATCTTTATTGGAATGGCACCTGTAGTGTCAGAAAATCATGTCCTTAATGTCAAACGTTCATCAGTATAAGAGTCAAAGAGTAGATCATGCATCACTGCATCAAGTGTATTTGTCAATATTTTAAAACGTTACTGGAGACAGCTTGTTTCTATTATCTAGTCAACCTCCGTTATTGCGGCAACCTTGAGACATTGAGTTAATGCCCTCACCAGCGATAGTCCGTAATATCGGGGTGCGACGAGAATCAAACTTCCGTGAGAAATAGAATGAAGGGGTATACGATAAATGAACATCTGCAAAAATAGATGAAATGTCTTGAATTGGTGCCTGAATGTTAAGAGATGACGCTCAAATTGTGCTATTGGTAGCTTAAGAAGTGTCCGTATATTCGTAACAGCGAGACTAAGAGTCCGAATACCGGGAGCTTGTTTTAGTCGAACATCTGAAAGTTTTACCGGAGATTCAACTGCTTCCTGTATTATTAGCGCGTCCGCGCGTGAATAGCAAGGTTTCCGCAATGCAAGAGTTAACTTTAAATTGAAAACACCAATAAGGGTAACAAGGCCAACAAAGGGTAACAAGGGGTAACAAGGGGTAACAGGGGTAACAAGGGGTAACAAGGGGTAACAGAGGTAACAAGGGGTAACAAGGGTAACAAGGGGTAACAAGGGTAACAAGGGTAAGAAGGGGTAAAAAGGGGGTAACAAAAGTAACAAAGGGTAACAAGGGGTAACAAGGGGTAACAGGGGTAACAAGGGGTAACAGGGGTAACAAGGGGTAACAAAGGGTAACAGGGGTAACAAGGGGTAACAAGGGTAACAAGGGGTAACAAGGGTAACAAGGGGTAAGAAGGGTAGCAAGGGGTAACAAGGGTAAGAAGGGTATCAAAGGGTAATAATGGGTAACAAGGGGTAACAGGGGTAACAAGGGGTATTAAGTCTTAACAATTAGTAACAAGTGGTAATAAGGGTAACAAGGGGTGACGAGGGGTAACAAGGGGTAAGAAGGGTAACAAGGGGTAACAGGGGTAACAGGGTAACAAGGGTAACAAGGGGTAACAAGGGGTAACAAAGGTAACAAGGGTAATAAAGGTAACAAGGGGTAACATAGGGTAACAAGGGTAAGAAGGGGTAACAAGAGGTAACAAGGGTAACAAGGGGGAACAAGGGTAACAAGGGGTAACTAGAGGTAACAGGGGTCACAGGGGTAAGAAGGGGTAAGATGGGGGTAAAAAGGGGTAGGAAGGGGTAACAGGGGTGAGAAGGGTAATAAGGGGTAACGATAACATGGGGTAACAAGGGTAACAAGGGGTAACAAGGGGTAACAAGGGGTATCAGGGGTAACAAGTGTAAGAAGGGTAACAAGGGGTATTATGGGGTAAGACGGGGTAACAAGGGGTAACAAGGGTTGCAAGGGGTAACACAGGGTAACAAAGGGTAACAGAGGGTAACAAAAGGTAACCTAGGGTAATGCAGGGTAACACAGGGTAACAAAGGGTTTCACAGGTAACAAAGGGTAACACAGAGTAACACGGGGTAACACAGTTTAACACATGGTAACCCAGCGTACCATAGGGGAACACATTGTAATAAAGGGTAACAGAGTGTTACAGAGGGTAACAGCGGGTGATACTGGGTAAGACAGGGGAATAGAGGGGAACACAGGTTAACACAAGTTAACACATGGTAACAGAGGATAACACAGAGTAACACAGGGTAACAAGGGGTAACACAGGGCAACAAAGGGTAACACAGGGTAACAAAGGGTAAGCCAGGGTAACAGAGGGTAACAGAGGGTAACATAGGGGAACACAGGGTAACACAGAGTAGCCAAGAAACAAAGGGTAACCCAAGGTAACACAGGATAACACAAAGGGTAACACAGAGTAAGAAATTGTAGCACAGGGTAAAAGAGGATTACAAAGGGTAACACATGGTAATAAAGGGTAACGTAGGGGAACACAGGGTAACACAGAGTAACAAAGGGTAACACAGAGTAACACAGGTTAACACAGGGCAACACAGGATAACACAGGGTAACACATGGTAACACAGTGGGACATAGGGTAACACAGATGGTAACACAGGATAACAGAGGGTAACACCTGCTAACACAGGAGGACATAGGGTAACACAGGGAACACATGGTAAGACAGAGTAACACAGTTAATTAATAACTTCTAAATTACAAATGAGAGTGAAGTTGAATAAGTGTTAAAAATCACACGGAAAACTCCTCTTTTTTCCGTCAAAAGTTCAACATAGTATGTCATCACATTATCAAACAAATAATTTTATATTGATTATTTTATGTTATTCTAACGAATTTTTTAATTTTTCCTTTAAAACTGGGCGCATTAGCCAGTTATAGGCGAACCTTTGTTGACATGTTTGTTCACCCAATTTTTGTTTCCATATGGGAACGCCCCTTACGTGTGAACATATGCTGTCCGTGGGCTGTGAAAATTTTTAAAGGGGTCAAGGCCATTGCGAGTACTACGGATGGTGACATTAATGATCCAGTTGCAAATAAAAAGACAACAATGTGTCAGTAATTACTGACAGCTCTTAAATCTTAAGTCAATCTGTTGAAACGAAATTCTCCTGCAACTCATAATCAGGACAAGGTTCATTTTTAGTGTCTGTACCCAGGGGCTTCTTGAGATTTTCGCTGTAGTCGCAGAGCAAGGAAATATGAGAATTTTTGGCGTGCAACAGTTATATAACTGTTATATAATATAACTCTTATAGTTTTATTATATACATACTGAGAAATACTCATCAAAAAGCTATGTCGTAAATTTTCGTACGCAAATTAGTTCTAGCCAATCAGAGGAGCGAACGATGGTTTTCACACGTGAAGAAAATGATACGTCCAATCAGAATCGCGAACGATGTTTTTTCACGTGTGAGAAAAATGATACGTCCAATCAGAAGCCACAGAGGTGTGAGTTTCGCGCCAAAATTCCCGCCTTTTATTGCAGCTTGCAGCGCCGCTTCGCACACATTCAACGAGAAAAGTTTTACTCAAAGAGCTTTTCTCGCTACAAAAGTGAAAAACATTTCGGAAATGGAGTGGAATAGTTTCGTTTGTTTCACTGTCGATAAAGAAAACGGTAGAGAGCCAGCGAAACAACAGCGGAAAGGGAAAAACAGAACGAGACGTAAGCTTTTGTTGTATTTTTTGTCGGAGCTACTTTGCCTTTCACTAAGCTTAAGCTTATTTTGAAACCGGCCATTTTACTTAAATTCACTCATTTTCAATTGAGCAGTGAGAACAAACAGCTAAGAATACTTATAGTTCTCGGATTACCTCATACCCTTACCGTCATTTATGTTTTTAACAAACGTTTTTACTAAAAAGCTGATTACTTCGTTTTCGTTGTCACTTTGCCGTAAGTGTGTAGCGGCAAATTTTAGCATTTTTGAAAGATTTAAAATAAAAAGGCCGCCAAAATGATGAATGTCTCAGTATGTATATAATAAACACAATACCACATGGAAAGTGCTTTGTACGGTATTTACGCACTCGTTGTTTTTGTATCAGAAATCTTACTCGTTCGCTGCGCTCACTCGTTCGATTTCTGATACGTCAACAACTCGTGCGTAAATACCGTACGCCAGCACTTTCCATGAAGCATTCTCTATATATATAACTGTTATATAACAGTGTCATATACCTGTTATAAAACAGTTATATAACTGTTATATAACAGTCATATAACTGCTATATAACAGTGTCATAAAACTGTTATAACAGTCCCATGACTGTTATATAACAGTTATATGACACTGTTATACAACAGTTATATAACTGTTATATAACAGTTATATAACAGTAATAACTGTTACATAACAGTAACACATATAACAGTTATAAGTGTCATATAACTGTTATATAACAGTTATATATAACTGTTATACAACTGTTATATATGTTATATAACAGTCATATAACTGTTATATATAACTCTTACAGTTATATATACCTGTTATATAACAGTTATAAAACAGTGTCATATAACTGTTATATAATAGTTATATAACAGTCATATAACTGTTATAACAGTCCCATGACTGTTATATAACAGTTATATGAAACTGTTATATAACAGTCATATAACAGTAACATATATAACAGTTATAAGTGTCATATAACTGTTATATAACAGTTATATAACTGTTATATAACAGTTATATATCTGTCATATAACTATTATAACAGTCCCATCACTGTTATATAACAGTTATATGACACTTATATATAACTGTTAAAAAACAGTTATATGACTGTTATATAACTGCTATATAACAGTTATATGACAGTTATATATAAATGTTATATAACAGTTATATATAACTGTTATATAACAGTCACATCACTGTTATATAACGGTTATATAACAGTCATATATAACTGTCATATAACAGTTATATATCTGTCATATAACTCTTATATAACTGTTATATAACAATGTCATATAACTGTGATATAAAACAGTGATGGGACTGTTAAAACAGTTATATGACAGATATATATGACCTTTATATAACAATTATATAACTGTTATATAAAAGTTATATAACAGTGTCATATAGCTGTTATATAACAGTTATATGACTGTTACATAAAAGTTATATGACAGTTATATATGTTGTATAACTGTTATATAACAGTTA